ACATTTTACATTGTATATGATATGGTTTCTTTGGCAGTACTGTTTTCCATTACTTTAACCCATCATATGGGTTTCATTATGTTATTTTCAATCATATAATTATGTCAGTTAACTATGTCTGTTTACCATTGATATACCAGGCAAATCTTTTATTTATAAAAAAAATGAAAAAAATCAGTGTTTTGTGGATCTGAATTACAAATTCACATTTCCATGTTTCTGATATCTTCCGAGATTCTGACACTCCCCAGCTGGAGTCATCCAATACTGTAATGGTGAGTGTAAGCACTATGATAGTCAATGATGTCAATCTCCTGCTTTTGTTACATCAGTATAATCTGCCCCACCTTTAGATAAGTTTGACGGATTGTTTCCATGCCTACTTTTGCTTCTGCTTCCCTCTTCCCAACATAGATCAGATAATCCCATCATTGTCATTCAATGCTTGGATTACACAGGTATGTATCTTCTGTTTTTTCTTTTTCTAGATGTTTGTGCTGCATTTGGGCTACCTTGTTGCTCAGCAATCACTTGAGTTTCTTCTTTCAGCTAATTAATCTCCTCTTTTTCTTTTTTCTTTTCTCTCTCTCTCTCTTCATTCATCTTTGTTTCTTCTTTACTCAATTTCTTTTAGAAACTTTATATTACAGTCATGTTAGTTTTACTGGGGAACCTACTCATACCTGATTTCCACTTGCTTTTATTTTCCTTTATCCATTGTGCCCTACTTAACTCGGTTTCCTCTATTTCTGGGATGTACTTCATTAGGATACCTTACTTTCTGACATTTTTTTCTCTCTTCTCTCAGGGACCTATGTGTTACATCATTTTCTTTGTAAGAAGGATTTTTAGGGAGTTTTTTATACTTTGGAAAATCTTGAGCTGATGCATTTCATCAGCAGTCATCTCTGTTCACTTGAGTTTCTTATTTTTCTGGGCCAGCAATCTTCATGGTGTTGCCCCATTTTCTGTTTCCATTTTTTTTTCCTATCTCACTTTCCTTCTTTCTCTGAGCACTGACTGTGAGGATCTTGGAAGTGATTTGTTTCTGGAGTTATACCTCAGTTTTAGTCTGGTGGGAGCTCTGCTCTCCCACTTTGTATACTTGTGAATTGCCTTTTCCACAGACTACTGGGCTACGTAGGTGCTTTCTCTGGAGTTATCATTGTCCTTCTGCTCTCCACTTCACCCAATTAGAACAAATGGGTCATGGACCAATTCCTTGACCCCATCTGTTGGTTTTTCTGCTCTGGGGCTTTCTTCCCATCTTTTAGTCATTCATTCCTACAAAGATGGGTGATTGGGGACCTGTTATAGATCTTTCCTATTTGAACCAACTTTGCTTTTTCTTGGTTCAAGATGGTCCATTTTCTCACTCTTAGGTGGCTACTCTTCCAGAATGTGGATAACTAGGATTGATGTTTTCCATCTGGTCAGGTGAACTTTTGTTCACAGGTTGCATTTGTTAGGCCTACTGTTCCACTATTCTATAGGTGTTTGGCCTCTACTTGCCTCATCCAATGTAACATATACTGTTGTTACCTCCTTTGTTCTTTGGGATTCATATCATTTGAGGTGACTGGTTTGACTTTCCAATTTAGTCTTGACCCCTACAAGTATCTCATTCCTCTAGGGGTCTTTCTCAGCTTTCTTTTTTACTATCTCTTTTTACTCTCTCTTTTCTTGAGTCTTTTTGTTTCTCAGAGGATCCCATATGTGTTCTCTGTAGTTGACTTTGGTCGATAAGTTCTTTATATCTAGAGCCCCCTGTCTTCTGTTATGTGTGTCTCCCCTTCTTTTCACGTCTCACAGGATCACTTGATCCTCTTCCCCATGTTGCTGTGACTTATATCAATTTGAAGTCCCCTCATTAGGCTCAGCCTTAAATCTGAGGACTTATTACATATAAAATATTCAGTTTTTCATACCCATGGTGAGTGCAAAATAGGTGGCACACAATTTAGTTATGCCCTTGACAA